GCAGGGGGCGACTCCTCTGCTCCCATAGACGTCTATGAGGAAATGACTCTACTTCTCTGTAGTGACCAGCAGGGGGCGACTCCTCTGCTCCCATAGACGTCTATGAGGAAATGACTCTACTTCTCTGTAGTGACAAGCAGGGGGCGACTCCTCTGCTCCCATAGACGTCTATGAGACAATGACTCTACTTCTTTGTATTGACCAGCAGGGGGCGACTCCTCTGCTCCCATAGACGTCTATGAGGAAATGACTCTACTTCTCTGTAGTGACCAGCAGGGGGCGACTCCTCTGCTCCCATAGACGTCTATGAGGAAATGACTTTTTTACTCTTGATTTATTCCCTCAGTAAACATGAGTTTATGGTCTCAATCTCTAGTTTCAAGTCTTCAATACAGCATGATGTTGATTTAGTGCCTTGACTACACTAACAAACTGTAGCACTTAAATTGTACTTTTAATGGTTCTTATCTACAGCAAGTTGTAAATCGGCTTATTTATTGAAATTGCACTTTCTTGTTTCTTGTTCTTCTGAGTTTGTGTCCTCGTGGTTGAAATGCACCTAGTGAAAGTCGCTTTGGACAAAAGCTCAATAACATGTAATGTAGTAAATGGTGGTCCATTTAGAGTCAAGCGGACCATGAAGCGGGGGATGCTTTAGCGCGGGAGCTAATCAGAAGGAGTCATGAACTATTCTTGTGTTTCCCTGCAGCACTTGCGTCTGTCCCTGAACGAGGACGGCCAGTGCCGAGTGCAGCACCTCTGGTTCCAGTCCATCTTCGACATGTTGGAGCACTTCCGGGTGCACCCGATCCCCCTGGAGTCCGGCGGCGCCTCCGACGTCACGCTCATCAGCTTCGTGGGCGCCACCGCGGTCCGGCAGCCAGGTACGCCAAACACACCGGAGCAGACGGACGGGGACCATAAAGCAGGGGAGGCTTTAGGGCGGGGTTACACGCTGATTGACAGGTCTCTAAAGGAGCATGTGATGAAAGTGCAAACGTTCCGCTGCAGCGTCCTCTCGCCGCCTGCTGCTGTGCTGACCTCTGACCTCTGTTGTTTTCTGTCGTATCCGTTGGCTCGTCCCCTGCAGGCCGGGACAGGGCAGGCAGTCGGCCCACAGTCTGTGATGTCATCACCCCGCGCCATCCCGACTCTCCATCAACCCCCATCTCTGACTGTGTGTAAGTGAGACCGGACTCAGTGAGAGACATTTGTGTGTGTGTGTGTGTCCTTGAAGTGGACCGTCTCCATGACTACCACTGACTCCATGGCACAGACTTTATTCCACCTAACCGTCGACTCACTCTCTTCTCTCACTTCACTCTTCACTACACTTTGCCCTCCTTATTACACCCC